CAAAGACTTTGAACTTTGATATGTGTTTTTAAATATTAAAAATGTAAAAATATATGTTCAGCTGATATTTCTGATTTATTTGTAGCTATCATTTTGCAACCCAAAACTTTCTACCAGAGACCAAAAAGACATAATTTAGAAGGAAGGAACTATTGGGTTGTTGGAAAACTCATGATGCAGTTTTGCATAGAAAAACAGGAAAATACATGACTTTTGATGACACAATATGTCATGGCTTTTTTAAAACTAGTACCTGTTATAGTATGTTCATAATTTGAATTTCGGACTGCTAGTTTGAGAATCACAGTTTCAACTGCATTAAGTGGTAGAGCACTTGCCTTTTTGAAAAAGGGCTTAAGGTACTTCATGTACCGTTTGTCTGGAAATGCAAGAAATAATATATATGACCCCTTTAGTTTATAGGTGTTGATTAATGAAAACAGAGAGGAAAGACCAAAAGGAACATGTTTCAGGCAGACTTTCTAAACTTAGGTCTCTCGGAAATATTTCAGAGGGTGACCTTTCACCCACTCTCCCATTTCTATTCAGCGTCTATTGTATGCCACGCAACAGACTATTCTAAAAAGTGGGCAGAAAGCATTGGGCAAAACAAAAAAGGCTCCTGCCCCAGAGTTTATAGTCTTGTGAGGAGAGAAAGATGCAAGTAAGAAAATTAATAAGGTAATTTAAAGAAGTCGAAGGTGTGGTCAGATACCTGAGTAATAGAACCTGGAGAGAAAGTACCGCTTTACCAAGGGTGGGTAGGGAAGTCCTCTGTGAAGACGACCTTTGAATTAAATCCCAGGTAATGTGAAGGAAGCTTCCATGTAAACATTTGGGATCTAAAAGACTAAAAGCGCATGGATGAAGTGAATCTTGAAGAGCACTGTCCTATTTGAGAGATGAGGGAATGCTTCCTACCCGTTCCTGTGCAGTGTTCAGAGTGCATTGGGCATTAGTGTGGCAAGAAGTGCACCCTGTGCTGTGTGGGATCAGACCTCGTGCCGGCATAGGCTGTGTGTGCCCGTGGCAACTGGCTGCTTGTGGCCTGAGGATCCAGGTGTCCTCACGTGTAGTATGACAGGATGGACCAGACACCTCCAGGCCCTTTTTGTCTCTTGTCACTTTGAATCTATGTGGTATTTGTTAGCATTTAAACAAGGATTATTAGGGGACCAGCCAGTGGTGTGGTGGTTAAGCTGGCTGGATTCCACATGACTGAGTCCATGGTTCAAGTCCTAGACCTGGCAGCTTGAAAAACACGCCAGGGGTGTGTGTTTGAGTGTGTGTGTGTGTGTGTGTGTGTGTGTGTGTGTGTCCAAAATCCCAAGAGGAGACTAGAGAAGGGAGTGTGGTGTGACCATTACACCTGACGGATACTTTTCCATTTTCTTTCTCTCTCTCTTTGTCTCTTTCTCTGATAAGCACATGTCATCATAGGAAACTTGAAATAAAATTTTTTTAAAAAGTAGGATTGTTAACTGACAAACAGCATTATTATTTCTTTGTAGCCAAATATATGTCAGATGCAAGATTTACTCAATGATGCTAATTTTTAAAGAGCTTTATTTAAAATTCTTAGTCCTTCTCTTCCATTCTTGGTGGTTTATGTGTCAAGGACATTGCTGTGTTTTTTTAGAAACATTAAAAAATACTAAAATGTACTTGGAAACCACAGTTTATGTAACTAAGATACTAATTTCAGATTGTAGAGGAAATGTTAAAATCTTTATTGCTAAAAATCTTGTCATGACAGTGTTATTTCTTTGTTACTGCTTTCTTAGAAGGCCGATGATAATTGTGATTTAGTTTAGTTTTGATTTAGATTTAGTTTTAGCAGGAATTTGAAAAACTGTAACTTTGGAATATAGATAGAGATATACTTTCATTTTCATCAATTCATCGAACCACACAGTTGCAAATTCTTGACTTTGTCACACAAGCAATTAGGAATTTTTAATAATCTAGTGTGTTCCAAGATCTAGGGATGCATCGCCCCTCATAGTCCACTGGATGTGAGTAGTAACTGTATTAGCTCAGAAATTTTAGAAGAAATGATGGAGCCTACAGTCCTTTAACTGAAGTTTACATTCTTTCAGCAAAAGGTCATCAGATGGCCTTGTCACTTTTAAGAATTTTGAAATAGCTTTATTTCCTTATCTCCTTAAGATTAAAAGATATTTTCTCTTTTTAAAAATGCTAATTGTTTTAAAAGTTGGAAGAAGAAACTTTGGAAAGCTCAAGATGTTTCCTAAAATAATTTTACTCGCACCACTGACCTCTGTTTTAGGAATCATTCTTGTCAGAGTTTCAAACTTTGAAATAACTTGGAAGGGGTGGAAACAGGAGAGCCTCAACTCATGGAGCCACAGGAGTTCCAGAAACTGGAGCGATGCAGATTTCTACCTGATAAACTCCCGTTGTGTCTTGTGGAGGTGATGGAAGCTGTACAGTCGGTCTTCGTTCAGTATGTGCCTAGTATTTCAGTAGTGTAGACCAAAATGAAAATTTTAAGAAAATGTCGTTGAAAGATTGGCGTTCGTTATAACTTTAGCCTAAGGCCTAAGGGAATTATTAAATGATTTAAATTAGGGGAGTGATTTACTTTCATTTTGAAAATTTTACTCTGACCTTGGTTGGAGAATAAATTAGGGAAGAGGAAAAATGGAGGCAGAAACAGCAGTATAATAGTTTAGGAAAAGAAAATGAAAAGCTGAGATTAAGATGATGGAAATGATTCTATATGGAAGGAACAGATGTCTAGAAATATTTTGCTGTTATTGAGGTGTTTGTTTTCATCTGGAATAGACTGTTTGATTAGAAAACATGCTACATTGATTGACAGAAGTGACTGAAAAAGCCCAGGCTGTCTGTTCTGCCTGTTTGCCAAGAAATGACTTTCAAAATATCTAAATAAATCATTTAAATCTTTTTAGAGCATTTCTTTGGTTCTGAGACATGAAATCTCTTGAACAATGAAAATGACATTTTGTAAGGGGATTTGACATTAACAGATACAGAGCGTATTAAAGTATTAAAGTGTTTTGTTTATAAAACTTGATAACATTTTATATGTCATGAAATACTAGATTTACCATTTCTAGGGATACTGAAAGTTGATTGGTTGTTCTGTGCTAAAATTGTAGCCTAATTGTCTCACTTTATTGTATTTGAAATTAGCCAATAATGTGGACATGTGTTGACTCTTATACAAAATTGTGAAAGTTTCTCTATTATTACTTAGATATAATTTAATAAAAATGACTTTATATATGGCATTTTGGTAGACTTTTTCCACAAATAAAATATTTATTAGAGGCTTCAAATATTATAGTGTTATTGGGTCATTGGAAAAGTCGTGATGCATATTTTGCATAGAAAATCAGAAAAATACGTCATGACTTTTCAGATGATCTAACATTTTATGTGCATAACATTAAAATTAGGTTTGATTAATTCAATGTCTGTTTTCTATTTTCAGGAAATCTTAGTTAACGTGAAAAAATTAGAGGATGACCTCTATAAAACCAAGGGTTATCTTTCAGTTTGTTGCTTGTCTTCAGATTATCTTCTGTGAATTGTCAAATGATTTATTAGTAGAACACAAGTACTGTTTTGATCATAATTGAATCCAGAGGAGATTTAGCTCTTATTTTTGTTTTGGTGTTTTATTTATTGATTTTTCTAAATTATCTGATTACTTTAATTCCATGGGGTCAAGTTATTTAAGAAGGTCTTATTTTAAGAACAGAGAGAAACTGATACACAGAGATGTAATTAATACTGCTGCAATAAAATGTCAGAAGCTCACATTTCTCTGATGCACACTATTTAACAATAAGGCTTTGACTCTCATGTTTTACTTCCTAGATTGGTGTAGAGTCATATTTCAATATTAAGTACTTTACATTGCTTTGTGTACTTGGTTCCTTATAATGTGGTTGTCAAAATGAGGGAGTGCACGGTGTTTGCGTGTGTGCAGGGGTACACTTCTGCATGTAACCAATTTCGCAGTGGCTTAGCTCTAAATGAAAGTTCCACTCCTCAGTTTCTTTATTGTCTTAGGAGTCAATGCTGTAATATTAGTTGTTTTTATATCTATATAGGTACATAAATACATAGTTTTTAAGGCTTTTGCCATAAGGCATGTGTGCTCTTTGGGGACAGACAGAGGGCGACAGTGAGAGGGAAAATGAGAAATCACCCACTGAGGGGATGGCCGTGCCACAGTCCTTCCTCTTCCATTCTCCTCTTGGTATTTTGGGTGTGCACACACGTGCCTGGTGTGATTTTCAAGCTGCCAGGTCTGGGACTGCAACCATGGTTGGCCTTATGGGAATTCAGCATCTTAACTACTACAACACCTGCAGACCCCAGGTTATTATATATTTTAACATTTAGAAGCTTTTCCATTTTTTTATTAAAGAATTATTTAACTTTATTTATTCATTTATTTATTTTTATTTGAATAGAGACGGATAGAGTGAAAGAGGGAAAGTGAGAGCAAGCCACCAGGTCCGAGACTTGAACTGTGATCGGCCATGTGGGAGTCTAGCACCCTTAACCACCATGCCACCTGCCAGCCCCATGTTTTTCCATTTTTATCTGCGGTGATATTGTTTTCTGAGTAGAGGCTTCTAAATGAACTCCGATAGGCATTCCCTCTTACTCTTTGTTTTTTTCCCCTTTTTCTTTAGTTACAAACTCAGTGACACACCCTAAGTTCTTCGAGCCGTGTAATTAGCTCTAATCACATATTAGGTTGCCGGGAAAGTCATGATACATTTTTGCATAGAAAAATACATCATGACTTTCTGACAACCCAATAGATCCACTTTCTACATAATTTCTTGATGTGAAAAGGAAGCATTTCCTTAAATTTTAAGTACTACTTCCCATCTCTCCCAGTTCACTCCCCAGCCCCTGTTTTACATTTAGCATTCAAATTTGTTCAGTGTTTGGCCTTTCATGTTTTTACTTACTCTCTTCTCTGCTTTCAGTTAACAGCCAGATCCTTGCCTGCTGTGCAGTCGGATGAGAGACTTCAGCCTCTGCTCAACCACCTCAGGTAACAGGAAGGCACAGCCTTGTTATCCTTTTAGATGCAAGTGCGTTAAAGTGGGCGCATTCTGGGCACATTCTATCAGCATGGTTAAAACACCTCAATTACTAAACCCTAAAAAAAGTTTTTTCTTTTCCCTTAATTCTGTCATTCAAATGGGAGTTTTTAATATTGTAAACTAGTATACATTAGTGTAATGGCATTGTCTTTTAATATGACAATGTGCAGGACTACTTGATAAATGTCCGCCCACATGAGTAGTGATGGCTGACTCTACAGAACAATCTGAAATGAATGTGCTATTTATTGAAATAAAAGGCCAGTATGTATACTTACTAAAGATAGATTAAATGGATACAGTTTGTTTCCTTTTTTTTGACATAATTTTTTTTTATGCATTCAATCACTATATATCATTATAGCATGCAAGATGAATTTTCCCAGCATGAATACATTGTATATTAGTCCAGGCAAAAATAGTATCGTACATGTTATGTAAATACAAAAATAATGAAGTCATTGTTTAAAAAAATAAACCTAGAAAGTACACCAAGGAGAAACTCATTACATCTCAGAAGTAATGTTTCTTTCTTCCTTCTATGCTCTGTTAAACTCCAGTGTTGAAGTTACACTTTTATAATTTACAATTTTTTCCATTTTTTATGTATGTTGTAAGATTTTGTTCCTGTTATTAGTGATGACATGATATTTTCTTGTATGGCCGTATTGTAGTATATTCGTCTCCTTTTGGGAGGCATTTAGACCATTTCCAGTTTTTTTCCCGGCTATAAATAATGCCATACATAAACCTTTATCTGTATTGCGCATCACTTCCTTAGGATAGGTTTCAGAAGCTGAATTACTTTGTCAAAGAGTATGAACCATTTTAAAGATTTAAGAATACACAGATGTTTCTTCAAATGCTTGTTCTGTTGATACTCTTACATCGCGTAAGACTGTGCACGTTACTGTAGCCTGAACAACAAGGAGCAGCCAGGCAGTTGCTGATTTGTTCAGCTCTTCATAGAGATACTGTTACGATCCTATGCATTTCCTTGATTAAGAATGATTTTTAGGCCTTTTATTATCCATTTTTATTTGGGAGTGGGATTAGCTACTGGTATTCTTTGCTCACTTATTGATACATCTCTTGCTTTTATGTGATCTCCTGAATTGAGATATAAAGGATAGTAACTCTATTGTATTTGTTACATTTTTTTCTAAAATAATAATTTATTATACATACTTCCATTTTCAAGTTTTAAAGAGCCAAGCACCAACAGTATTTTGTTTTATGGTTTCTTTTTCTTATCTTAAACTTAGAATATACTTCTCATTCATAAATTTCAGTAAATTTTATTTTCTAATATCTTCTAGTTTTATTTTTCTATTTTTCATTCCTCCCTTCTCTCCTTTCCTTTCCTTTTCTTTCTCCTCTGCAGTAACTTCTTTTTCTCAGACTGATACATTTTTAACCTTGTACATTGGTTTTGTTAAGGTAGGTGGAAAAAAAAGGGGTCAAGACTAATTATCAGCAGGGTCTGAGTAGTATATATTAGTATATACATGAGAGGTCTTCGAAAAGTGCACAAATAATGTGTTTTATGGAAAAATGCGTGGGTAAATTTCTTTTTTTTAGTAAGATAACCTTCCCATCTATCCAGGAACATTGGTGCTTTTACCTCTTGGGCATTTTTCTTACTTTAGTAGCCCTTGTTTGCTCTCCTTGACACCCACTTTGCCCTCTCTAATAAGTTTCATATTATTGCCATTTGTGATTATATTATTCCCCAGTTTACTTAGTTTAAAACTCTTCTCTGCATCCCAATTTTTCTCTGGGTTAAGCCTGAACTCCTGGTATATAAAGTCCCTCTGGAAGAAGCCTGGTCTGTCTGTCTCTTCAGACGCCAAATACTGAGACCCTAGCGTTTAGTCCCAGCAAATACCCACAATGTTCCTCTAATATAGCATTTTTTTTGTTTACCCACCTCTATGCCTTACAAATGTTTTTTCTTCTGCCACTTCTACTTCTATTTATATATATATAAGCATCTATTAATGTATTTCTTGGGCCATCAAAAATTGCGACATATTTTTCTGTTTTTCTTTGTGAAAATGTGTCATCACTCTTTGGTGACCCAATAAATATAGTCATAATATTTAATGTAAAATACTATATATTTAAATATATGTAAATATGCCTATGTGTATTTACACAATACATATTTATACAAAGAGGCTTTAAAAGGTTTATGGCAAAATGGAATTAGAGTACAGGTTTATTTTGACACAAAATTTTTTGGACATCATAATACACATTTCCATGAACTTTTTGACAACCTTCATATTCTCCTTTCCCCACTTCTGTAACTTAATTACTTTGACCTGTCTGATAAGACTCAACCCAGTGTCACCTCTTGTGACCATTTGGTTTCCTCCCACCTTTTATAGGTGTTTTCATAATATCCCATGACTATCTCTGTATTACAGAATTTATGTTACTGTTGCTGTTTGTTTACCATTTGATTTCCCCATTATACCATGAATGGCTTGAAAGCTTGTAAAGTGACTTTCATATTTGTATTTCCATTGCTGGGACAGCCTCTGCCATGTGACAGATGGTGTCATGTGTTTTATTGAATGAATGAATGCAAGTTATGTCAGTGATATTCGGTTGGGTTGTTTTCTTCATAAAGTTATTATTAATTTATAAGACATATTGACACTTTTTTTCCCTATAAAACTACTGGTTCTAAAGCTATAAACCTAAAGGACCAAATCTCACCTCTAGTTAATGCTTGATTCTGTGAAATAATGATGGATTCTTTTTCCTCCATCCCGGTATGGTAATTGTCAACTAGAATTTAGATTAACTACTGACACATCTCTTCGAGACCTTGAAACTTGTGCAAACTGTACATTCATTTAGAGCTTTTATTCTCCATGGAGTTCAGTCATGACTGGTTGCTAAGCAACCAGGGCTAGATGCTACATGTAATATGCACCAACTGATGTTGCTTTTTTATTATTATTAAACCAAACGGTTTCTCATTTTATTACCATGTCAGAGACATCTGTATGTAGGGTGGCAGTTGATGTGCATAGTTTGACACTTCCTGTTCTACAAAGTAACCTTGTGATAAGCCTTTCAAGCATATGAAATTGTCTCTTTTGGCTGTCTAAATGTAATGTTTCTCTTTTATTTTTCTTGAGCTTAGATCAAAATAGGAAAGGATATTATTTGGTTTGAGAGATTCTAATGACAACCTTGTCAGAAAAAAAATAATTATCATTGATGTACATGAACTGTATAATTTAAATGTTACCTAGAGGGGATGGACATTAGAGGGTTAGTACTGAGATCATTATTATGTCTAATTTTGTTTGATGCCTCAAATGATCAAAGAGAAATGATGAATAGCATTTTAATTAAATTTGTCAATAAAACTAATTTGGGAGATGATATAAATACCTATAAAAATTGAAGTAGCAATGCAGAGAAATTCTCCAGCCATTTTATAGGACTTAGATACTAACAGAGAATTAGTGTAATATGTTGCCAATGTGATGGTGGATTTTTCTTAATGATATATGTTATCTGAGGCTGCAGAAGTGATATGTCCAAATTTTCTTAGTTGAACCCAATTTTCCAGTTAAATGCTAAATTATACTTGAAAAAGTCATTTTACTTCTATATCTTTGGGAAATACAAGCTTATTTTATTCATTAGTATTATAGCATTCATCCATTTATTAGTGACCCATTATGTGCTTGGCATTAAAAAAAGCAATCTTTGTTCTGAAGGGATTTCCAGGTTTTACTTTATTTGAGAGATAGGCACTTAAACAAATTGCAAAATTTGTAAACTTTTCAACTGCAATTAAACATTAAATACAATTCTTCTGACTGCCTCCCTCATGGCATTATTTCCTTAAATAACAGGGCCGTGACTTGTTTTGGTTTTCATACTTTCTTAGCACAGTAGTGGCTTACAGTGGGTGCTCAGATTGGACGAATTGTAATCCTACTTGGGGAATCATGTTGACATTCATTAAGAAGGGGGATAAAGGATGATAGAGGAATTAGGGAATGACATTGTTGTTGAGATAAAAGTTTATTAATTTTAGACATTGTAACTTGAAATGCCTGAGGGGTGTATGTAGGGGATGTTTAGCAAGTAGCTGAATCTAGCATTTGGTAATCATCATCATATAGGTGGTAGTTAAAAATCAAGAGACCAGTTGGGGCCGGCAGATGGCATGATGGTTAAGGATACTAGACTCCCACATGGCCAACTGCAGTTCAAGTCCTGACCTGGTGGCTTGCTCTCTTACTCTCCCCGCTACCCCTATTCTCATTCTGTCCCTCTCTGATCAAATTAAAATAAATAAATAAAGTTAAGTAAAACATATTTTTAAAAAGTCAAGAGACTGGTTCACATTACACAGGAGAGAACAGTATCATGACAAGAAAAGGGGAAATGGCCTGGAATGGAAACATTGACAGTGTTGAGCTGTGATGCACAACTGTGCAGGTAAGAGATGCATTCAAAGAGAAACCAGTGAGAATACCATGGAGAAATCTTGAATGCAGAAGGAACACTACAGAAGGATAGAATTATCAAAAACGCTAAGGGAAAATTTTCAAAAAGATATGTAAACATTGTCACATGCCATAGAGCAGTCAGGTCAAAACCATTGAGTGGCATTTGGGTTAAGCACCTGGGAGCCACCAGAGTTAGGCACAATATTGTGGTGTATGGCATAAGTCTGGTTCCTGAGAGCAATTGAGGAGTAAATGAGAAAATGAGTTTGTGGTCTACTCTTGGTAGAACTTAAGTTTGAGGGTAAGGAAGCTCACTACATCTTTGAATTTCATGGTTTGTAGAAGATTTTTTTTTTCCTTAAGATTGGAAGGAGAGGATATTTACATGATTAGGGAAAAATGAAGACTGAGGATTAGGAGAGAATTGAAAGAAGAAAGTTTTCGAAGGGGTAGGACAAAGA